TAAGATAAATTAATAAATTGTATCGACATGATGTAAAATTAAGAAGAATTTCAAAAAAAAATTAAAAAATTTTCAAAACGAATTGCGGAATTTTTATATTTTACGAGGGATATAAAGTAGAAGTAGAGTGGACGTCGGAAGGATTAAATTTAGAAAATTTCAAATTTTATTTTAATAATTTATGAAATAAAGTCAAATTTTAAACTAATTTTTGAAAAAAATTGATATAAATAAAGAATTTCACGTAACTTTTGAACAAAATGGCCGAATTTATTCCGTTTGCACCGTTGGAAGAAGACAGAACGAAGATTAATACTCACCGAATTAGGTTGGCGTTCCGCACAGCAGGATGAACGATATTGTCAAACAAACACAAAAAGAGGATATACGTGTCACACGCATTAGGAATTTTAGATGATGTGACCAATTGGGTGGGATGGGAGAGGAGGGATGGGGGAATGGGGAGAAGATAGAAGAAGAGGAAAAAGATTGGAACTTTGGGCGAGGTTGGCGGGAGGAAGGAAAAAAATTAGTAAATGACAATAAAAATTTTCGGGAGGAAGAAATTTCAAATGACAATAAAACATTTCGGGCTATTTTCCGTGACAAAATGCGGAAAATTTAAAATTGGAAGAAATGGAAAAAAAAATTAAAAAATTGCTATATTTTGGGGGGTTATTTTAAAATTTTAACGAATTGAATTGATAATTATGAAAATAATTTAAATCGGGATTTCCGAATTACTTTGAAAAAAGAAAAGAAATGTTGGAAAAGAAAAAGGTTAAATTCGAGAAAAATAAAACGAAATTTAGAAAAGAAACTCGAGAATTTTCAAAACGAAAAGAAAGTTGAATTCRGATTTAAAAGTTGAACAATAGTTAACTTCAGCAATCAAACAGCATCATACATGTAAGTCCAGATAGTTTTGACCTCGAACCAACAACAACATTGCATCGCAAGATTCACCAAATAAAATAAAATAAAAACACACCAAGAGTTAATGATTGACAATGTTGAACTAGTCACACCATCATCAACGAAGAACTAGAGTTGATATCCTACCTGGCGCTCGACGCCCAGACTACACGTGGAAGATCCTATCTATCCTATACTACGTAGCCGAAATATGACATCAACAACATTCTCGAAGGACGATCATATGGCGACCACTGTCGCACGCTTCCAACACCAGGTATGTCTCGTGCTACACTCACTGCCTCGTTACCCAACGCTCACAAATGCCACGTGTTCCCATCTCTCTCTCTCTCTCTCTCTCTCTCTCTCTCTCTCTCCCCCCCCCC